GTGATAGGACAAGAGGAAACGGCCTCAAGCTGCACCAGGGGAGATTTAGATTGGATATTAGGAAAAATTTCTTCACCGAAAGGGTAGTCAGGCACTGGACCAGGCTGCCCAGGGAAGTGGTTGAGTCTCCATCCTGGAGGTACTTAAAAGATGGGTAGACATGGTGCTTGAGGACATGGTTTAGTGGTAGACTTGGCCGTGCCAGGTTAACGGTTGGACTTGATGATCTTAAGGGTCTTTTCCAACCTTAACGATTCTATGACTCTATGAACAGTGTTAACAGCTCCAGCTTCTGTACATTTATGAAGTTTATAAATTGTTCTTTTTATCGACACTGAATACAACTTCTCAAATAATCTGTTTTCCTATTAAGTGCTAGGACAGAATGCCTAGTATTCAAATTAATAGCTTCTTCAAGGGCTGTATACAAATTCAACATTAGCAAAGGGTACACCTAGTAGCACTCATAGTCCTGTAAGTTTCCTTTTTTACAAACAAGGACAGGCTGAAAGAACAGGGATTGTTTATCCTGGAGAAGAGAAGGCTTGGGGACAGTGTGTGGGATCTTACTAATATTTATGGAAAGGTGTAAAGAAGGCAGACCCAGACTTTTCTCAGTGGTATCCAGTGACAGGACACGACACAATGGCCAAAAGCTGAAGCAAAGGAAATTACACCTGAACAGAGTAAAAATTTTTTTTACTCTAAAGCTCGTTGAACACTGGAATGGGTTGCCCAAGGGAGGCTGTGGAGTCTACGTCTTTGGAGATACTAAAAACCTTACTGGACACGGTCCTGGGCAACCTCCTCTAGTTGACCCTGCTTTGAGCAGAGGGGCCAGATAATCTCCAGAGGTCCCTTCCTACCTCAGCTGTTCTATGATACCTTCTGGACCCCTACTTACAGAGAAGTGCAAGGGTTTTAGACACTACAACCCTATTGCTCTCCACTGTTAAACCTTTACCAACACTAAGGCAAAGAGGAGTTCCTCTTGGCTGGACAACATTGCCCTATTCTTTTCAGCACTTTTTGCAGAACGTGCTTAAGGTGAAAACACAGTAATTTATAAAGCCAGACTCATTATTAACAGTCAATAAAAGTGAAATAAAATCTGTTGTTAATGATACTTGATATTTGCTAAAATTGGGTGATGAGGTCAATACTACATGTCAGTCTCTTAAAAATAAACACTTGCAACCTGAATAAAAATCCATATGTGGTTTAAAATCCATATGTTTCTTAATGAATTAAAGTAATACTCCTTTGGGAATATTTAGGTAGCAAAAGAAATTCAGATGTTAAATACAAACAAATTAAGATCATATGATTCAGATCGTACCTTCTGAAGCTCACCTACAACAACACTGAATTGGTGCTCACACAGCAACTTCCATAAAGCCAATGCCTGGCAGGTTTTGCGAACAAGCTGCTGGATGCCTTGAAGTGAGGTCTTCTCAGTTAGCTGTGCCTCAGCTGAAAAAGCAAAGAGATTGTCAATAAGTAACTGTTTTACATGTTTCAAATTAGCATGTAAATTTTTGACGTTTTATAATAAAAATCTCCTCAAATTTCTGAGGTTTTTTTTCTCTTCCATTCTTGATTAATGCTGTCTAGCTCTCTTTGGAGGAAAGTGCCATGTTAGCATTTCCCCCAAACAAATACCAGCTGTTAACATTTATTTCAAACCATGCAACATAGGAAGAGTAATTTCTGAAAAAGAAGTATGGCTTTGTGTGAGTGCACGGGATTTACATATCAGTCTTCAATTTTTGCTTGTTTTTTTTTCATCAATAGTTGTTATAAATGTGTTTATGATTAACATAAAAGAAATAAAAACATACATATTCCCTTTTTGTTTGATTACCTGTATTTGTTTTTAAAAAGAACAATTACAATTACAACTTTGGTCAACACTGTCTACACTATCTTGAAAAGAACAACAACTACTCCGAAAACTAGTAACATTTAAATCTGATAAGATGTATTATATTCACTGAAAGAATATGGACATACTTATTACACGTGCGGGACATAACTGCAACAATTTATGTCTTTACTTTTGAGTGCTTACAGTTCAGAAACAAGGCAGCAATAATTACACTGTATCATTTAGCAATCCAAAAGGATTTCTGGGCTTTGGAATGCATAAAAATGAAAAACAAAATTATTAAATGCCTGCCAAATTCTACATAATGACTTTTTAAAAGAATTTACTTTCGCACTATTGAAAGTGAGCAGTACAGAAAAAGAAGTAGAAACTAAACCCCAGGATTATACCCACATGGACCACAACCATCTTCAGTTCTGTATACACAGCAGAAACACTTCCCAACTTGCCTGCAAGTGCTGGGTAAAAGCTACGCTATAGGAGGACATGAGTTCAAATGGGCTGTGTGACAGGCCTCTTATTTCTAAACAAAGTTTTGTAGACATTTCAGTGACTGGAACCTTGGCAACTAGCATTACAGTATTTCTTTTTAATAGGACAACATACCCACTTCTCCCATAAACAAATTGCTTAACAATTGCTATCCTGAAAACATAAATGGGCGTGCAGCTACTACGTATTGTAATGAGGAGATGAAACAATCTTACGAAATATGGAAAACATTAAGAATAACAAAAAGGAGACAGGTAAGTGTGCAAAGAAACCTCCAGTTTCATATTTCAAGATTGTCTGAATGGGGAAAATATTGAAATTGAATTCTTTGTATGAGAGAGAGAAGTTTAAGAGTGCTTTAAAGTTCAAGCACTTTTCTTTTAGCTTAATGAATTGAGATATACAACTTGTGTTTTGCAGTGGCTCAAGACCACTATGTTACCATGCTGAAACACAGATTCTGTTCACAGAGAGATACTCTCCTTTGTGGACTGCTTTAATTACTTGCAATATCAAAGCTTTCAATATCAAACTGAAAGGTAACATCTGCAGCATGTAACAAATGAAGCCTCTTGCCACAGTCAACCTAAAGGCGGGAATGTTTCTCTATCTAGATTTGAGTTTTCATTCTGGGTATATACTTCATCTCTAGTACAGTTGTATGTAATAACTTTTTTACACCAATGTCACTGCAGAAGCACTGCTCCTGATGGAACAGCATGATAAGGTAGGGAAGCAAAAGCAAGGTGCTAGCAAAGTTAGTTTTCAAACTACAGTGCTTCTTCTGAAGAACTTATTACTGAGTATGGCATATTGATTAATGTCAAATTTGTATGGAAAAAGGGCATTTTTATTCAGAGGTTTTAACAAACAAGAAAAGTGAGAAAAGGAACATCCAAATGCACTATTCCCTGAAACTTCCTATTAAAAAATAATTACATACCATGATATTTCCTCTGGAGTTCTTGCTGGACCTGCTGAGAACTTCCACCATCAGGCCGCATGAAACCCAGGAGCCTCTGTTGCAGATTGGCTGGTGTGCTGAAACTGCAATTCCAAAATAAAGAGATGCTAATACGATTACAAATACTGAATCTTTTAAAGATGAAATCTAACAACTGCTTTTTAGCATCTGAACAGTTGGCGCTGGAGACCATACATACACTTCAACTCAACACAGATACACATGGTATAGTTTTTCAAGAGCTGGACATGAAGTACCGCTAGTAAATTTAACAGAACGAATAATACCTTGGGTTTCCAAGGGCTCCTACTGTAGCAAACTGTGAATTTCTATCCAGAAATTCTTGTAAACCTTTTAGTTCTTGTAGTACACATTCCAGCACATGGGATGGAACACTGCTTTCTACCTGCAAAAGAAAGCAGACTTCTTTACAGAAAGCTTAGTTTCCAAACTTTTTTCCAAAAATTTACAATTTTAAGCTAAGGCCACTAAAAAGACAAATGCAAAGAGGGTACAACAAATAAATAGCATAACAGTAATGTTATCACTAGAACACAACATTATTATAGTACAATCACTGAGGAGGGGGCATATACATGAAGAGGCAGTAGTCCTCTGAAGATAGACAGTATTGAAGATGCTACTTTCTTTGCCCCTTTGATAACTACATCAGCTGTGTTTTACTATTTCCAGCTCTGAATGAAAACAATGATTGAGCACTGCTAAGACACAGCATAACTGCCAAGGTCTTCCAGAGTCTCCCAGTTACCTTATAATTGGAGGAGGAAAGCTCATGTAGCAGTTAATTTGCATTGCTGGAATTACTCAATTCAGGATTCTATTAACATCCACAGTCAGAAAAGATTTTGTTATTTTGATCATGGACAAAAAGTGAAACACCAAGATGTTAGCCAGGAAGATGCTGGAAATTTTTTTGTGTCCTTACATAACTGCCATGTTTATCCTAACCCACTAAAGCATTTTATTTTTAGGCTGTGTCTGGAGCGGGTATGCGTAAATGAAGGAACTGCAATCACTAAACTGGCCATTGCCAATCAACAACAGGGATCAAATTACAGTTAGGTTTCTTAAAAAGTAATATTCAAAATAGTAGCTTAAAAAAGATTTAAAACCTACAATTACTCCTCAGTTAAGGGCGCAGCACCTTAGAAAATATTCAAATGATAACAATGGGTTTTTTCCATATCAGTTTATAATTGGGAACAGAAGTATAACAGGTCTTAAGACATATACTATAAGGAACTTTTAAAAATACAAAATAATCTTTTACATACTGCAACAACTTCTCGATTGCCACTTTTGAAAACTCTCTCCAAAACTATACTGCCATCCCAAATATTTCTGCAACACAAAACAGTACTGTGTTAAAAGCCAAAGAATTTAAGCAAGTATTTTTACAAGTCTTCTATTTATAATTTCTTAATAAAAAAATTTGTAATGTTTTTGACTTCATGATTGTTGTGGTTTAACCCCAGCCAGCAACTAAGCACCACACAGCCGTGTACTCACTCCCCCCACCCCAGTGGGATGGGGGAGAGAATCAGAAGGGTAAAAGTGAGAAAACTTGTGGGTTGAGATAAAGACAGTTTAATAGGTAAAGCAAAAGCTGTGCACGCAAGCAAAGCAAAACAAGGAATTCATTCACTACTTCCCATCGGCAGGCAGGTGTTCAGCCATCTCCAGGAAAGCAGGGCTCCATCACGCGTAACGGTTACTTGGGAAGACAAACGCCATCACTCCAAGCTTCCCTCCCTTCCCTTCCTTCTTCTTCTCCCAGCTTTATATGCTGAGCATGATGTCATATGGTGTGGAATATCCCTTTGGTCAGTTGGGGTCAGCTGTCCCAGCTGTGTCCCCTCCTCACTGAATGTATTATTATTAATAGAGCTGTAAAGAGAACATATTATATCAATGGGTACTCCATAAACACAACATAAAAATGCACTTTACTAATTTCAAATGTAAATGCTATTAAGATAGAATTCACCACTTACAAGCATTAGGCAAAAGAAAAACTATGAAACAAATTGAGTGACAGAATCTCTTTTTACACAAACATCTCACCCTATAATCCGAGCAAAGTATATGCGCAGATGCCGGTGTCTTCCAGAAAATACTATCTCGGGACCCATCATTCCACTAATGGATGTACCAGGGTGAGACATGGAATTCCCAGAAGGAAATGCGGGAGTTGACATACTAGGAGGTTGTAAACCTAAGGTAAAAGTAGGTAAATATTACTCATTTGAATGCAAATAAAAAAGCCTAGTTGAAAAAAATTTCTCCATTTCTCCAGCAAAGGAAAAGAAGGCGTTACCGGACCCAGGTGTTGTCAAAAAGCTAAGATTAGGATATGGAGTATCAACAGTCAAGGGGGAACCTAAAAGGGAAAAGAAATAAAGGTTAAGTTTGTCACAAACAGACAAATTAAAAAACAAAACAAAACAAAACAAAATAGAACCCACAAAATCCCTGTGCAAAACAAGCAAAGTTGTTAAATCAAATGCTTTAAAGTTAGAACCATTTCAACAGCTTCTATTTATAGTTAAATACCAAACTGCACTCATTTTTTATCAACCCAACACTCCATAAGTGAACCAAATGGATTAACTTCTTTCAAGAGCAGTTATTAAGTATTTTTTTTCCAGCATTCATGTTATTTATTGCAAACTATCTGTTCCCTGCATTGAATATAATACTGCCCACACACTTTTTCTTGTTCTTCACCTTCTGACTCTGCCCACTCCTGATATGGGCACCTGTTCTCAAAGCACTCATTTTCAGACGTTTAGATCTTTTCAAAGAATATCAATTTTACCTTCAAAGCACTCAACTGAAAGAAACTGGTATTATTACTCTTAATTTTTACATAGGGCAGTTGGACAAACACCACATCAACACTTAACTTGCAACATTGAATTTGAGACTGTCCTTGGCCTCAGATTCAGCTGTGAATACTCAACCCTTCTGCAAATTATGTCTGAATACCTAACTTAAGACTCCAAAACATGAGGAACACGTGTGGTCATCTACAAAAATGTCCATGTACCATCAGCATGTTGGATGACGTATCATGGAAAGGGCAAGAAAACTGGCACTCTGAAAATCTGGCTTTTATCAAAGAATTAGTCCTTCTTGCCTTACTCACTACAGTTCTCTCAACTTGGCAACACACAACAGTGCAAAGGATATCAAACTCCTTCACTAAACAGTGCCAGTGTGTTCTCAGAGCACATTCTCCTTGTGTGCCAAGCAAAGCACAAACTTGCAGAAAAGCAGCATGTGAATGCATGACTAGGCTTCCATTGGTGAGAAAAAGAGGGAACTAAGTTAGAGGTGCCTGGCCTTTTAATGCTAACATTATTGTAATGTAGTTTCACATGCAAAATTTCAAGGTGTTTTAATCAATTTTTGTGTCAGCACTGTCTGACCCACCACATGAGACATCCACAATATCAGAATCTTAATTTCACATGACAGTTCTCTACCCTTTGAGCAAACAGAGTAAGTAGTGGCAGAAGAATAGTGCCATCTTCCACTTGGACCTGTCACTGAAAGAAAATGGAAACACGTGCTTTGATAGTAGGTTTCAAAGAGACTTAGATGACAGCAAATGATAAAAACATCCAAACATTTAGACTTGGGAAAAATACATTTACTTCTAAAAGGAATTCCCTTATTGATCAGAGAGCTTCCTGTCATTTCCCCCACACCTTACTTTCATTCTCAGTCTGCTCCTAGCACCTGTTCTCCACATAGCTGCTGTCCTCTCTAACTCAGATCTAGTTTTACATTCTTATGCCTTGCCTCAGCTCCTGCCCACATTACTATTGTTCCACACCATCAGGCTTGGAAAGTAATGCCACTGATGCATTAAAAATAGCCACTCTTTTTAGTGTTTTAATACTACTTAAGAATTCTGGAAAAGAGGGTCAACTGTCTTGGAAATTAACAAGTTCCTGATTTAAAAAAAAACAAAAACAACCTAAACATGAATAATACAGAAAGGTCTTCACTCCAAGCATCAAGTTCTGAGGAGAAAGAATAGGCACTATTCTCATTTGTAGGTGGCACTGACGACCTAAGCAGAAACCAAATGTTGAAGCTAGAGCTTTTACAGGGAAAAATCACTCTAAATGACTAGCCCATTTCTTGATCAAAATTATTCTTTTCTTCTCTTCTCATATCTGCAGAGGTATGACAATGACACTGTAAGAAGATACTCTGCTATAGCCACACAACAACCAATTGATTTTTGTAAAATTTGAACTATAGTATCGATGAATTGTTCTCTGGCTGCTGAAGTGCCTCTGGCAGCAAAAAATGTGTACCTTCTTCACATAATCTTAACAAACTATATGCAACATTCAGACATAGTTTGAGATCACATCACCCTCTCACTAAACCCAAAAATCACTCAAGAGAAATGGAAAAAAACTCTGTAATTCATTAGCCAGTGAGTGGAAAATCAAGGACTACTTCAGACAAAAAGAAGACACGTACCTGTGAGAAGATAAAATACAACATATTTAAGGAAAAAACAACCTATCCAAAACCATGAAATGCTTGCTACTTACCAGCAGGAACAGGAGAACCCAACATAGGTCCAACGCTGCTTGGAGGAGGCAGAGCTGACGGAAATCTCATTTGTGCTTCTCCACCATACCTAAAGTTTACATGCAAAACCAAAAATTCCTCACACTTCATACACAGTCCATTTAATTTTAATGTATTTGAGAATTAACAGCAATCTTGGGGGTTCATTTAAAATGAGGAATAAAAAAAAAAACGAGCATAACTTTTCAGAAATATTTGTGACTGTATGATACTTCTGGCAGAAGAAAAGAGAACTCACTGAATACATGTTATGTGAAAAGCATTAACAGATGCAATTGCAAAGATAAGTTAGATGAACAGCTAAGTATTTTTTGTGTGGATCTTTTAAGTTCTGTGGTGATATATGATATGATCTGATCAGGCTTTAAAGAGAAATTTACCAATTCTCAAAATCAGGCTTATGTTTTACTATCTTTTTAAGGTTTGCCTCTACAGGAAAGTGGAAAGAAGAACCCAGTTGAGATGACCCATGCTTATCCTTCTATCGTCCACAAGTAATTTCCATCCATCTCTCTCTCTCCTATAGTGCTACATGAGCCGTTTGTTATGTCTTCCGCTGCTAACACCCATCTCTCCAGGGTTATTATCCACATTTTCTCTCAGATCTTGTAATGTAATTCAGTTTAACAAAGAGCAACTGTTCACAGCCTACTGAGAATAGCTGACTTAATCTATCACCTGCACAAGTTTTGGAAAAGAGCAACGAAGCTTTTGGGCACATAACACCCAAACTCTAGCGCAAACATACAGTCAAAGCTGCACATTTTATCATCACTCTCCCCAGGTCTATCTTACCAAAACTCTTTTTTCCTCCATGCTACATGCCCTGTGAGGACAGCCAAGAGACCCACAATATACCAACTTGTTTAAGGCAGCTAATTACAATATACATATCTGCACCATACCACGGATATGCAGTACTTAGGATACATAGATGACAAATTAATCCTCCAGAGTAGAATCCCATACTTCCTCACTCACTTTGTAGTGGAAAAACCTAAACCAAACCAACCAACCAATAAAACAAACACACACAAAAACCCAACCAACATCAACAACTATGACCAAGAGCCATCAGACCCTGAACAGAGTAAGTCCATCTGAATATCAATTTCCTTGGCGCAATGGTGAACAGCATAAATAACTACAATATGTTTAGGAAAAAACCCAACCCAACCCAACCAAAAAAACCCACAAATGCAAACATCCCACAAAAATGAAAAAATTTGTCTGTTCTTTTTTCAGCTGAGTTGGTCTCATTAAAGGTATTACTACACACTGCATTTCAATGAACAGGGGTACTGTGAAGTATACCTAAGTGCATTTCAAGCAGATTAAACTACATTTTCAATAGCCTCCTCTACACGTGGAATACAAGCACCAAAGAGGGGAACTAACCAGAAATCACCATTACAGGAAGCTTCCTTTATTGATGAGCCCTAAATTAGTGCAAAAGCATATTCCACCAGGTTTAACAGTCTATGCTTGTTTTAAAACAATGCTCGCTCAGGCAGCAGGTTCAAGAGTCTGTACAATTATTTAGTGGCTGTAGTGATCCGGAGCATAATATTCAGAACAACCTACAGAATTGAAACTTACCTGAAGAATGCTCGAGTAGCCCAGGCAGATACTTCTCTATCACATGCAGCATTAGAACAGGCCAAGATAAGGCAAGTGGCACAGGCCTGATCCTCCTAAGGCATATTATACTATTAGTGTGGCAGCTTATATCAAGTTGATAAGAAATGTATAGAAGTTATATTGCTCAATAACTAAACGATTCGCAAAAACGAATTTTTGCATTATTTTATTTAGAAGGCAAGGAAATCAGCTCTTCCCAGTTACAGACAGGAAGTGAATCATAGTGAGGCATCCCACTGTAGCAGGTAAGTTTTTGTTACATACAGTTTTTGCAAACTCAGTATGATTACTGGTAGGAAACAATCTCCATGTCTGTCACCTAATTATGACAAAGATTCATGTAATTTCTACAGAAGACTGTTTGAAGAAAAAAATCTGTACAAATAATGGTTTGCATATTCTCATGGCATGTTAAAATATCACTTTTTATGTCCTATCAAAGCACACGGGAGTAGATTACAGTGAACTTTCACTACAGATACTAATCAGTACCATTTAATTACAAATTAAAATTGTAATCCACAATAGCTTCCTTCCTCCTTGTTTGTTATTTACCTTAAACAAAAAATAGACCAATTGTACACATTTCTACTGGCCTTCAAAATGTAAAAACCTCTTGTAGTGTAGGAATTTAACTTTTTTTAGAAACTTCCTCCCCTGCTCTTAAATTAACTCCTTTCCTAAACCAGAGAACTGCATTATACTACTGCATACATATAAGACATGTAAGAATTTCAGGGAAAGTGATTTACACTTCCATTTTTAGATATCATAAAATGAGAAGTTATTTCTCATTATACAATCTTGTTTTATGTAGACAATACAGGAGGAAAAGCTAATACTTTAATTGATAAATGAAATGTTAACTAGAAGTTTATAGCAACAACAAAAAGATGCTAAAGAAAGTAATTAGATTTACATAAATATTATAAATCTTCCATTTTTCGTAAAAGGTCAAAAGTTCTTACCTGATGCAACTTGAAAAATCTTTCAATCTCTTCTCCATCTCCACCTATATTGCTAACAAGCAGATGACGCAGCTGATCAACAGGTCTGAGTTTATGAAACATAAAGCTCCCCTAAAAGTAACCCAAAATGAGTTAGAATAAAGTTGTCTTTACTCTGGCCATCCCAACATCCCCTCCCCACAGTGCTTCTCTTTAGAATTCTGAACTTTCCTTCGTTGCACTATTGTATCAAAATATAACGTGAATGGTGCCTAAAGCCCCGTTCCCATTCACATGCAGAAAATTCTCTAGCAAGTCTAGGAAAGGCAGGAATAATACTGCAATGGCTATAAACTCTCCATAAACTGAGTTAATTTTGCTGTTCGTAGCCTAACATGAAGCATACAACACAAACATATAGCAAGTATATACAGAAAAGAAAGACTTTATGTATCTTGCAAATCCTCAAAACGGCCTGGAAGAAAAATGCTTGACGAATTCAGGATGAAGGGCACGGTAAGACGACACTCAATCAGGTTGTAGCGAGGTGGGGGCTGGTCTCTTCTCCCAGGTAGCAAGCAACAGAACAAGAGGAAACAGCCTCAAGTTGTGCCAGGGGAGGTTTAGATTGGGTATTAGAAAAACTTCTTCATGGAGAGAGTGGTTAGGCATTGGAACAGACTGCCCAGCAAAGTGGTGCAATCACAGTCCCTCAAGTGTTCAAAAAACATGTGAATGTGGTGCTTAGGGACATGGTCTAGAGGTGGACCTGGCATTTATGTTAACAGTTGGGCTCGATGATCTCAGAGGTCTTTTCCAACCTTAATGATTCTATGATCTTGCCTGCATCCATACTAACTACTTGAGAGGTAGTGCCTTTAACAAAACAGCTGCCATTAAACAAATGCAGGTTGAGTCTAGAGGTTGCAAGACATTAATGATTAAACATTTTTTTTTTTAATTGCTTATTGGTCAAGATATTAAATGCCCTACAATATTGCTAGAAGTAATCAGAAAAGAGAAATAGAAAAGTTAATTTCTTTTTTTTTGGTGGGTTTTTGTTTCTAAAACCCTTTCAAAAAACCATTTTGGGACTTCTATGACAAAGAAGAAGTTATTTATTCAAATTTCAATCGCCAACAATATCTACTCAAACTATATTTTCTGGGCAGCCAGTGTCTGTTTCAACTTCATATAATCATGAGTATAACTAAGGTTAAAAGAACTTCTTAGACGATCTGTATCTACAAGGGTCTCTGGAGACCAACAAAAACTATTAATACACTGTACAAGAGAAGCTGACCCAATAGCTTTGAGTAAATTTAAAATAGATACAGATGGTTTCAGCAATCTTCTTCCTTATTCCTTTTTATGTTCAGAATATAATCCTTAAAACATATCCAAAATGAATAAACATTTACAGGTTTAGATCAGTCTTCTAACTTCGTACTTACTCTTCTGATTTCCTATATTAAGAAAAGTAATACTCACCTGGGCTGAAAGCAAAACAAACTTCTTAGGTGGCAGCATGTGCTGCTGCACAACAACAGGTGAATCAGTTATTGGAATAATGTCTTTATTCAGTGGTGTTACAATCTTCTGAACTTTAAATTCATCGATAGCAGAAAGAGCCCAGGAATGTCCATCAACACGGGTGGTCATCTGAACAACAGATAGGTATTAGCCAAAGTCTGGTAACAGACATGGTTTTTGTATATCCATGGTGATATTTTACTATTTACCATTTAAAGTTACACAGAATAGAATCTACTCTTGACACAAGAAAACCCAAATAATCAAGTTCTTGTATCATCTAACAGAAGGTTACCACCAAATTTACAGCTATCTACATATGTACTGCTGCTTTTGGGAGACAGGGAATAATATACTGCTTCTTTTGGGGGACAAGGATAGCATTTTGTATTTAAACATAAAACAACTTGCAAAATGGGATCCTTTAATACTGCCACAATATAAACAGCAACAATATGCTAACCATATCAGAACTAAGTACCAAAAGTATCATGAATTTAAATTACTTCTTGAAGAACCAAAAAATGCTGCAACTGAATCATAAAGACTTCCACAGTTGGCAGCAGTACTTCAAATATAACATAGGAAGAGACATATGGTAGCGAAGACATTCCAGAAAACTGTGTATGCTGACAAGGAAGAACTGCTGCTCAAGAACAGGCTGCAGTTTTGTTTGGGAAACCTAGATGTCTATTACTGTCAAATGCCTTGGAACAAAGAGAGAAGTCAGCACTTGGGATATTTATGTGTAAGTTTTTGCAGGGAAGGGATCTGGAGTAATTATAAAGCTCTTTTGTAAGTTATTAAAACAGCAGATAAATCAAAACCTGACTTTGAAACTTTTAACTTATACAGTCTCTCCATTCACTCCAACTCTACCACTGCTCCCACAAGAATACTATTTTTGACATGTCACTCCTCTACTTCAGCAAAAGACTTCAGACTTCCTTCAGAGCTGGAATACATGAAATGCTCTCCCTGAACTGATGCATAAGACAACGAACCCTCTCCAAACCCCTCTTAAAAACCAACTTATGTAACAATTAGGAAAATCAGAAAAAAAAAGGGAAATAATGAAGAGATTAATAATTTCTGAAATTTAATGAAGACATGGAGTATCAGTTTACATAAAGAAACCCTAGAATTTCTAGCACCTACATTTTAAACAATCTTTGCCAAATTTTATTCTCATCAACAAACACCACTATGGACTGTGGCCATGTCTTCCTGGGCTTGTGCACGATATGCAGCATGCTATAGACAACAATGTTTTCAAATACGTTAATTAGAAGTCAAGTCTTAGAAGTCAAGGCAATTGCTTTTGATACATAGCTTGCATGAACCTAGAAAGTATGGCTGAACTAGGAATTCCTACTAAGAGATGAGTTCCCATTCACTGACAAAACTGCCAACTAATTATTTTGCTTTGAAGCATATTGATTAGTAGCTTTGTAAGTGTTTCCAAACTCCTTATGGAAGTTTTCTATGAACTACCCATTTCTTGCAGTTAGTATTATTCAAGTATCTCTTATCAGAGAGGAAAAAATAGTATCTAGATTCCATCAAAATTGTATAAAAGTTTGCTTTAGTACCTGTGTTTCCATCATTGGCTTTTGAAAAGGGAAAGAATCATGATTGATACACCACAGTATGTCATTATCCTCATTTTCGGAAGCTGCCATCAGCAGGATTCCTAGCAAGAACCACAATATTAAGTTATATATTAAGTTATTAAGCAATAATCGTGCATTAGATGCAAATTCATTCCTTTTTTAGTAAAACTCCATCTTTAGAATCATAGAATCATAGAATCGTTAAGGTTGGAAAAGACCCTTAAGATCATTGAGTCCAACCATCAACCTAGCACTGCCGAGTCCACCACTAAACCAGGTCCTCAAGCACCACGTCTACCCTTCTTCTAAATGCCTCCAGGGATGGAGACTCAACCACTGCCTATTCCAATGCCTGACTACCCTTTCGGTGAAGAAATTTTTCCTAATATCCAACCTAAACTTCCCTTGGTGCAGCTTCAGGCCCTTTCCTCTCATCCTGTCGTTTGTTATTTGGGAGAAGAGACCGACCCCCACCTCACTTCAACCTCCTGTCAGGTAGTTGTAGAGACCAATAAGGTCTCCCCTCAGCCTCCTCTTCTCCAG